AAAAGGTCCTGACTGTCCACTAACTCTCCTCTAACACCACCCCAATGGTGGGGAGTTGGGAGGTGAGGGGTTTGGGTGATACTTCCCCCCTTTTCTTTTTATTGATTTCAGAGAGGAAGGGAGAGGGAGGGAGAGATAGAAACGTCAATGATGAGAGAGAATCATTGACCGGCTGCCTCCTACACGCCCCACACTGAGGTTCGAGCCTGCAACCTGGGCACGTGCCCTTGACCAGAATCGAACCTGGGATCCTTCAGTCTGTAGGCCGATGCTCTATCCACTGAACCAAACCGGCTAGGGCCGGGGTGACACTTCTTACTGCCAGATGGAAGTCCAGGCTCCCATGTGGTTTCCACAGGGAAGCCCTGCAGGGATGAAGTGTTGGCTTCCTGCTTTGTTGGCCTTCTCTGATGCCAACCTGGTGGGAGGGCTGCTACCTCATTATAGCCTGGTGAAAGTGGAAGTCTCGGCTCCCCACTCTACTCTTTTTTTTAAAAGATATATTTTATTGATTTTTTGCAGAGAGGAAGGGAGAGGGATAGAGAGTTAGAAACATCGATGAGAGAGAAACATTGATCAGCTGCCTCCTGCACACCTCCTACTGGGGATGTGCCCGCAAGCAAGGTACATGTCCTTGACTGGAATCAGACCTGGGACCTTTCAGTCTGCAGGCTGACACTCTATTCACTGAGCCAAACTGGTTAGGGCTCCCCACTCTACTCTTGCTGGTGGAAGTGGGGGCCACAGTTTTATCTGCAGTGTTTGTCTAGAGTAGAGTAGTTATTGATAAAAGCTTTTTGTCTTGCTGGGCTGCCCCTTTCCTAGAGAGAGCAAGCTTTTGGTTGAGGCTTTTATTGTCTGCATCTTTTGATGTTTCTGGATTGCTGGCTTCTCCAGCACCCCGTCTGGGATAGATAGATGAGGCAAAAAGAGAACTCAGAGAACCCATCGCCACTTCCTTCTGTGAGTCCCAGGGTTCCTAGCTTGTCTGCTGACGTCTTTCAGAGTAGGCTTATGTTTGTTTTACATGTAAGTCCAGGGTTTTTAGTTTTACTTAGTGGGAAGAGTAGGGAAATGTTGATCTTTATCTTCCCAGAAGAGGGAATTCCAAAGCTAGTAGTTTTTAAATGTTATTACCAAGTTTTAATACTACTATTCTCTTTTTTTAATAGAAGCCTAGCAATAATGTGTCTCCTGCAAAGTCAAAAAATATACACAAGTTGGTTGAGAATTCCTTGTCCATAAATAATCCAGCACTCTTCAAATCCTTAGGACCTCCTCTTCGATCAACTACTTGCCATCGCTGTGGCCTGTTTGGTAAGCATGTTGCTCTCAGTTGTGTTAGATTATTCCTTTACATGTTTGAAAAATATCTTGATTACAGAAAATTTAAAATATATTAAATGTAAATGGAATAATATATGCAACATAGACCCATCTCTCAGTTTCACCAGCCATCAACATACAATCATTTGTTCATCCATACTTTCCCACTCTTACTGCTTCTTGTTTTTTTATAGTGTTTTTTTTTTAGATAAAACTTTCATGCATTGAAATGCACAAACTCGCACCCCATCATGATAGAGAATATTTCCTTCTTCTCAGAGAGTTTCCTCATGCCACTTCCCAGGCACTGTACTTCCTAGAAGCAGCCACTGTTTTATTTTTTTTAATAAATTAATATTGCCAGAATTTCATATAAATGAAATCTACAGAATTTCATATAAATGGAACCATACAGTATGGGCTCTTTTGTATAAAAGTTTTTGCATTTAGAATTATATTTTTGAGATTCACCCATGTTGTTGCATGTACATTAATTATTTTTTGTTTGTCGCTGAGTAGTATTTCATTGTATGATTATACCAGTTTATCTGTTCTTTTGTTGAAACATTTTGCTGTGTCCAGTTTTTGCACTCTGCATATTTTTGCACAAGTCTTTGTGTGGACATATGTTTCATTTCTCTTGGGTACATACCTAGGAGGAGAATTGCTGAGTCAAAAGGATAGGCATATGTTTAACTTTACAGGAAACAGCCAAAGTAGCTATCTCATTTTAGATTTCTATTGGTAACAAGTTCTGATTCCTTTACAGCTTTGTGTACTTTAGGGATTTTCAATCTTTTTAATTTTAGCCTTTCTTGTGGGTGTGTAGTGATATCTCATTGGGGTTTTAATTTGCATTTTCCTCATAATCAATGGTCTTGGGCAGTTTTTCATATATGTATACACATATACATATACATATACATATACATATACTTATTCATATATATTGACTTCAGAGAAGGAGGGAGAAGGAGAGAGATATAGAAACAGCAATGATAAAAGAGAATCATTGATTGGCTGCCTCCTGCATGCCCCACACTGAGGATCGAGCCTACAATTCAGGCATGTGCCCTGACCGGGAATCGAACTGTGACCTCCTGGTTCATAGGTGGACGCTCAACCACTGAGCCTCGCCGGTCAGCCTCTATTTCTTTTAGAGTAGAGGCATTTGAGGCCAGCTTGGTTTTGTTGTTTTTTGGTAACATGTTTTTTACTGCCTGGATACTGATAGGATTTCTTTTTTAATCCTCACCCAAGGACATGCTTTTTGATTTTAGAGAGAGAGGAAGAGAGAAGGAGGACAGGAGGGAAGGAGGAAGTAAATCAGTTGCCTCTTGTAAGACCCCTACTGGGGATCGAACCTGCAACCTTGGTGTATTGGGACGATGCTCTAACTCTGTGGTCGGCAAACTGCAGCTCGCGAGCCACATGTGGCTCTTTGGCCCCTTGAGTGTGGCTCTTCCTAAGCCTTAGGAGTACCCTAATTAAGTTAATAACAATGTACCTACCTATATAGTTTAAGTTTAAAAAATTTGGCTCTCAAAAGAAATTTCTATCGTTGTACTGTTGATATTTGGCTCTGTTGACTAATGAGTTTGCCGACCACTGCTCTAACTGAGCTATCTAGCCAGGGCTGTTTTGTATTGTTGTTGTTGTTAATTCTCACCAGAGGATATTTTTGTTTCCCATTGATATTTAGAGAGAGTAGAAGGGAGGGAGGCAGAGGGAGAGAGAGGTGAGAGAAACACATCAATTGGTTGCCTCCTGCACATGCCCTGACCTGGCCCAGAGATTGAGCCTGCAGCTCAGGCACTTGCCCTTGACCAGGAATCAAAACAAAGACCTGTCGGTGTGCGGGCTGACATTCTAACCACTGAACAACACCATATTTTTAATGGCACAGAGTAAGCCATGTCAGAGTCTGCTTGCACAAGTTACGTTAATTGCCACAGTTTTTCTGTTTCCTTTGGTTTCTTTTATAATGCGTCTGGGCTCTACTTTAGAGAAGTCAGTTATATTTCCAGTCTGTCTTCTCCTTCCTCTGCTTTTGGAGAAAGCTTGGAAAGTTTAATCTTGACACCTAATTATAAACATCAGAAGCCTCTTCAAATAATCTTGATGTGATTAATAGAATGGTGTTTGATATGTCTGGTCTTTGAAATTGTTTTGCTCTAGGCAACAAGTATTTGGAATGAAATGTTATGGGCTGTTTTCTGTAGGGTCGCAGAGGTGTTCACAGTGCAAGCAGACATACTATTGCTCCATAGCATGCCAGAGAAGAGACTGGTCAGCACACAGCATCGTGTGCAAACCTGTGCAGCAAAAGTAAGTGTGTGTTTTTATTCATTAGAGAATATTTCAACATTTTTTCCTGATAGTATAAGGATCAAATCAGGTAAGCAGCCCATAATTGTAGATGCTGTTACTTTATTCCTATTTATTGAGGCGTAACATAAAGTGTGCAAATCTGAAGTGAACAACTTTACAAACTTAAGAGTTTTCATGAATATATTAGGTTGGGCACATTAAGATTTAAAACCTTAAGTGACTTTGTTGTTTGTTTTTTAATGACTAGAGCTTAGAAAGCTCTTTTAATTATGTACCCTTTACTAAGTTCTAATAAGGTGGACCTCTCACAGTGCTTCGTGGATTGCAGTTTTGAAATACACCAATCTTGTGTGCTATTTACCAGTTTACAAAACAGTTTCACATATATAACCTCATTTCATCCTCAAAACTGTCTGATGTAGGGTGATCTCCATTTCACAGATAAGAAAACTGAGGTTTGTAGATTGTGGCTATCTTCCTTTCACTAGGCGGCTTTGGGAAGAAGCACTCCTGTGCACTGGGCAGACCATTGCTTAGGAGGTTGTTACTGTACTGTGATTCTGTCTGGAAGAAGCTATTTGCTCTTTTTGGGTTTTGTTGATTGAGAATTTAACATAATTGTGGTCCTTACTCTTAATTAGTTCTGTATTATAAGTATTATAATTAATTGCTTTATTTCAGTTTCCACAAACTTGAAGACAATAAATCATCTTATGAAATAAAGAACATGGAAGTGAAAAATGAGGTATGATGTAGACTCATTTCTGCATTTCACTAGTGTTGGTTTAAGAACAGAAGCCTCCTGCTGAATAAATGTGCACACCCTAGGGATTGGTGTGGTGACCGTTGGGGCTCACTGAAAATGGTTTATGACCAGCCTTATTCCGAAAAGGGCTTTCGATGGCTTGTCTGTGTCAAACCACTTGGACTAGTGAGGGGAGTCCCTTCTTTGCATTCCCTGCACTCAGACGTTCTCTAGCCTCGTCAGCTATTTTGACCTTGATTCCAGCAAATAGTAGCCACAATATCATTGAAATATGTGCTTGTATGTAACTCACTTATGTGTTTTTTTCAAACCAGAGTGACTGTCCATTTGGAGTTACTAAAGAAATAGCCATTTCTGCTGATAAAATAATGTTTTCTGATTTGAGAAGTCTACAACTCATGAAAACCATGGAAATTAAGGTATTTGTTGTTTAATCTTTGTGGACAGAAATCCAAAGAACTATGGGTTTTATTTCCCTGTTTTCTATTTTGAATTCATGGTAGCTACAAAATTTAACCTGATGAAATTGATAGATTGCAACAACTATCTTTGATGCTTATTGTATCTTAGTAAAAGCTTTAAGAAATGCACATTTGCTTGTGTTGCAGTGAATTTTTACATCTTTCCTATCTTTGAAAGGGTACAGTTACTGAATTCAAAGACCCAAGTGACTTTTATGTGCAGTTATATTCTGCAGAAGTTTTAGAATATATGAACCAACTTTCTGCAAGCCTAAAGGAAACATATGCAAATACAGTGCATGAGGAGGATTATATTCCAGTTAAAGGGGAAGTTTGTGTTGCCAAGTACACTGTTGACCAGGTAACCTCTCTTGAAATGAATTATTTAATAAGATGTTTTAATTTACTTTGGTTGTATCAACTTGACACCAGAGCTTTTAATGATGCATTAGGTGGCTTAAAAGTGAGACTGGTCCGACTTCTGTTTTTCTTCCTCCGTCAGTCTTCCAGGCTCTGTTCGGTTGCTTGCTCCCTGCGCAAGGCCTCTCCAGCTCTGTTTATGGGCTCCTCGGTGCTGCTTCCAGGCTCATTGCTAGCCTTAGAGCTTGTGTTTATTTGTGTAGCTGAGGCACCAGGGTGTCATAGAGTCGACTGGGCGGGAATAGCTTGACAATATTTGTGTATAGCACAGTGGCCTACTTAAACAATTTTGGGCAAGATTACTAGAAAATTATGTTAACTTGTTAATTGAGTGCCCAGGAATAGAACAGTTAGCCTTTCCTTTGCATGTTCTATAAAGTGAGAATTTTTCAACCTAAGATTGTGAAATGCTACTAGACACTTTTCCAAAGAGGACATACAGATGGCCAGTAGACATATGGAAATGTGCTCAATGTCACTATTCATCAGAGAAATGCAAATTAAAACTACAATAAGGTGTTACCTCATACCTGCCATAATGGTTACCCTCAATAAATTAACAAACAAATGCTGGCGAGGATGTGGAGAAAAGGGAACCCTGGTACGCTGCTGGTAGGAATGAAAACTGGTACAGCCATTATGAAAAATTGTATGGAGTTTCCTCAAAAAATTAAATAAGGAATTGCCATATGACCCAGCAATCCCACTTCTGGGAATATATCCTAAGAACCCCAAAACACCAATCAGAAAGAATATATGCACCCCTATGTTCATAGCAGCGTTATTTACAACTAGAGGCCCAGTACACTTAATTTGTGCACAGGTAGGGTCCCTAGGCCTGGCCGGCAATCAGGGCCGATTTGCGGGGTGACTGGCGGGGTGATCGGGGAGCCCCCGCAGACACTACCTTGGCTGGCCTGGGGCTGCCTGCTCACCAGCCCTGCCGCCCGGGTCTGTGAGCTGGGGGCAGCTCCTGCGTTGAGCATCTGCCCCCTGGTGGTCAGTGTGCGTCATAGTGACCGGTCGTTTTGCCATTCGGTCAATTTGCATATTAGGCTTTTATTATATAGGATAGCTAAGATCTGGAAGTAGCCCAAGTGCCCATCAGTAGATGAGTGGATAAAAAAGCTGTGGCACATTTATACCATGGAATGCTATATGGCTGTAAAAAAGAAACTTCTATTATGACAGCATGGATGGACCTGAAGATTTATTATGCCAAGCAAAATAAGCCAACTAGGGAAAGACAAAATATCACATGATCTCGCTTATATGTAGAATCTAATGAACAAAATAAACTGATGAACAAAATAGGCCCAGATGCATGGAACAGACTGACAGATCTCATAGGGGAGGGAGATGGAGGAGACAGAAAGAGGTTAACCAAAGAACATCTATGTAGATATAGATATAGATATATATACATACATACATATATATACATATATATATATGTATATGTGTGTGTGTGTGTGTGTGTGTGTGTATATATGGCTAATATGCAAAGTGTCCCCTCTGGAGTTCCACTGGGAGACCAGGAGATCAATCGCTCGCTATGATGTGCACTGACCACCAGGGGGCAGCACGGAACAAAGGAAGGCCCCGGTTGGCAGCCAGAGGCCCTAATCGGCCCTGATCACTGGCCAGGACTAGGAACCCTACCTGTGCACGAATTCCATGCACCGGGCCTCTAGTATATGTATATAGGCATAGCCCATGGACACAGATAATAGTATGGGGAAGACCTGGGTGGGTTAGGGGCTGGGTGGAGGGGGCAAAGGAGAGGAAAATGGGGGACTTCTGTAATGCTGTCAATAACACATTAAAAAAAAAGATCATGAAATGCTTTTTTGAAGTAGAGTACCATTTTATTTCATTTCAGACCTGGAATAGAGTAATAATACAAGACATTGATATGCTACAGAAGAAGGCACAGGTCTTATATATTGATTATGGAAATGAAGAAATAATTCCATTAAACAGAATTCAGCAACTAAACAGACACATTGACTTGTTTCCTCCTTGTGTGAGTCTCTTCTGCTTTCTAAATTCCTAATAGTGGCCCAAAGGAGCTGTTTTTAATGTTTTGATAGATACACTATTTGCTTGTTCTGTTCTGCCGTGAGTGCCTGTTGGCACATCTTTTTCTACCTAGGTAAACATTCTTTGGTTTTCTTGGCTAAGTACTACCTTGGGTGAAAAACTGTTAGCATTTTTAGGCATTATCAATCTGTTCTTTAACAATAATCATTTTTATACTTATTACACTATTTGAAAGTGACTTGAATTGATATGTAATTGAGGGATAATTATTCTTTCCTCAACTCTCAAGCTTTAAGTCCCAAAAGTCAAAGCACTGTGAATAGGGTACCCAAAGAGAAAAATAATTACACATAAAATTGTTTATGTGGTTTGTACTCAAAGATTTTTGAAAAATTTTATGCATGAAAGCACATCTTTTTAAGCCTTCACATACTTAACTAGAGAAAATCATTTTCAAATACTGATTTTTTTTTTAGTAACTTGCACAAAATCTTTCAGGCCATAAAGTGCTTTGTGGCTGATGTTATCCCAGCAGAGGGGAATTGGAGCAATGATTGTATCAAAACTATTAAATCACTGTTAATGGAGCAGTTCTGCTCGGTAAAGATTGTCAACATCTTGAAAGAGGACGTGGTTACCTTTGCTGTGGATGTTATGCTACCAAGTTCAGGTAAGACCTGAATCTTCCTTTGTAAATGAGGTGTTTAATACGTTGTTTAGTCTCCACCTAATCCTCAGAGAAGAAAGAGAAACATGAAGTGAGGCCAAGTAAGCTCTGCTCTGGGGGCATTCAGACTGTGAATGAAGACGTGTCCTTGGCTCTGCTCTTGCAGTTGGCAGTGTGTCAGAGACATGGCACGAATCCACAGAACTGAGTGGATTAAAGGGTAGATGTAGACAGTCTGGGGGTGACGATATTGTCCTTTCAGTATAACCATGATAATATCTACTTCTGAGTTCTCCTTTATTGAGAAATTCAGAAATTTCTCTTACGAATGCATTCATTTTTATCATCATTACTTTTTCTTTGAACAACCTTCACAGAACTGTATTTTGTTAGTATTGAGACTGTAAGTACATAGTGTTCAGGTTGTGGAAATGAAAAACACTTTGGAATCCTGTTCTTTCATTCTGGCTTATATCTGTTTGAAAAGTGACTTCCTACAGTGTGCTTAAAATTGCCTCAGTTTCCACCCTGTTACTCCTCTACTTTTAGAGGCTCAGTATCGGTTGTTGACTTGGTAGAAAATGCAGTTAATCCTGTTGTGAAATTAAGTATAAAATCTATGTTTTGTTTCATTGGTATGTATGTTTCATATTATGACTTCAGCTTTTGGATATTATTTCAGAGAACTTGAAGTGCAGTCATACTTTGTGTCTGAGAAGAAGTCTTGTGTCTTAAATTCATTTTCCCCCATAAACAGTAGTCTTTCTAAGCATGCCAGTAAGGTGGTACTAAATGTTAATCAGAATTTTGAAGTGAAATTTTCATTAAATTTTCTGTCAAGTGATGATGGGAATTTTAAAGCTGAGCATTACTAAAACATACTTTGCACAAAGGAACTGAACTAGTAAGAAATATGCCAATGTGTATTAATAGCTATAATCTCTAAATCATGTAATTGTGACTCATGTTTTCTATTTATGCTTTGCCTTAATATTGAGTATTTAGCTCACTGTAGATCTGTTTTCTTAATCACTTAGGAAAACTCCTAGACGATGTGCTTGTAGAAATGGGATATGGCTTGATACCTAAGGGACAAAATTTTAAGAAGCAAAGTGCAGTTCAAAGTGAGTATACACATTAATAGTGAACAGTATGGTGACTTCTACTAAACATAAAAGCACAAATGTCACAGTGTCCGGTTCATGGAAATGCTAGCCCTTCTATAAACTTTATACGTGAAAGATGATAGTTTTTATTTAGTAATATATTATTTCTAATCTCAGTGTCCCCTGCCTAGTTTTCTTCCCTGTCTTTCAGATTAATCCTTGACATGATAATTATCAGAGACTACAAACATCTAAATATCATAACACTTTGTGTTAAGGTATTTTAGCTAACATTTCCTTAGTTCAATTTGCTTTTCTTCCTTATTTGGGTATTCCAGCAATAATAAACAGTGCTAAACCATTCTGTCCTAGTAGGATGGTGTTTCTCTTTACATTTTTACTTTTTGTTTACGTGTGTGTAGTTTTTGTCTAGTCTACAAGAAGTTTTGCTATGAGCATTTTATTTTCTCATTGCCTAGTCTTATGTGTTTCTTGTATTGTGCTTTTTCCTGTACTTTTCCTTTACCAATTCAGTCATATACCACATAACAACAGGGATATGTTCTGAGAAATGTGTCACTGGGTGATTTGGTCATTGTGCAAACATCATACAGTATACTTACACAAACCTAGGTGGTATAGCCTGCTACTGTAATAGTATGTGCTCTACTGGCAACTCAGAAGGTTTGTTTCCAGTAGCAGCACCATAAACTCATGAGTAGTGCATTACGCTATGTTACAACATCGCTAGGTGATAGGAATTTTCAACTTCCTATTGTAATCTTATGTCGGGACCTCTGTTATATATGTGGTCTGTAGCTGACTGAAGTGCCGGTAAGAAGTGCATGACTTGCCCTAACTGGTTTGGCTCAGTGGATAGATAGGTGGTATAGCCTGCTACTGTAATAGTATGTGCTCTACTGGCAAGGGCATGTACCTTGGTTGCGGGCACACTTCCCAGTGGGAGATGTGCAGGAGGCAGCTGATCGATGTTTCTCTCTCATTGATGTTTCTAACTCTCTATCCCTCTCCCTACCTCTGTTATATATGTGGTCTGTAGCTGACTGAAGTGCCGGTAAGAAGTGCATGACTGTACTGTAGATGAAAACACACTTCCTTGTCTCTGCTCATTCATCCAGAGGTGATCTCCAGATTAATGGTGCCATGATTAGATGCATCTTGTCACATAAACAAATTTAACTCATCCTTAAGTCTACCTTCTCCTTCACCTCCCATCTTTTGCTCTGATTGGTAGCCGAGTCTTTATTGGTTCTTCTTCCTAAGTGTTCTTTGTATGTTTTTTTTTCTTCCTTTTTCTATTACCACTTTTTTTAGTTCAGGAATTCTTAACATTCGAGATGATTTCAAAACCTTTTTTATTTTATCTTTTTGTTTCTGGTCTGTATTCTTACACTACTGCCTGTATGATATCCCTAAAACACAAATCTTGGTGTGATAACTCTGCTGAAAAGCTTTCAGTAGTTCTTTGCCATCTAGAGGAGAAAAACCAAACACTTCCTGGTCTAATAGTAGTCATGGTTGAAATCAGAAGGGTTGGTGATGTCTTAGGGATAGTGTGGAGTGAGGAAAAATAGGGAAGGGCCTACAACGTAAGTGAGGAGCTGTGCTGGGAAGGTGGGAAGAGCATGGGGAAATGTTGCCAGAGCAGCAGGGGGATAATGGTTTCTAGGAGGCAGTTATCAGTAACAGCTGATGCTGCAGAGGGGTCAAGTGGAAGGACCGGGAACCCTCAGAGCAACACCGGCTTTACTCCTGCACCGTGGAGGTGTGCAGAAGAGACACAGGCGATTATACAACAGCGTGAATGTGGAAGTGCAGGTGCAGTGGGAGCACCTGGGAGAGGCACCTGGTCCAGACTTGGCAGGAAATTATCGGGCTGCTGGAGGATTGGGGGTACTTTGAGGGGTGGGTCTGTGAGCAGCACGTATTAAGGTCTAGAGGTGTGGAAAGCATGATTAGACCTGAAAAACTGAAAATTTTGATTAGTGAAACCAAAAAGACTTACTTTTCTGTTTTCTGATCAGGTGAGCCTGAAGATGTTGGGAAAATGACAGCTGAAAACAAAATTGTTGTAGACAGAAGAGACTTAATCCCAAAAGTGTTAACTTTGAACGTAGGTGATGAGTTCTGTGGTGTGGTTTCCCACATTCAGACGCCAGAAGACTTTTTTTGTCAAAAACTACAAAGTGGACGTAAGTCACCTTTCTCAGTTTGGCTCTCAAGATAACTTCAAGAGATTCAGCAGGCAAAAGTGAAGCTAATGTGTAGAGTTGTATTTCTTTTGCTTAAGATGTGATCTGTGTTTACAGATAAGCTTGCTGAACTGCAGGCGTCCCTTAACGAGTACTGTGTTCAAGTGTCTCCACGCTCGGATTTTTACCCAACCATTGGTGACATCTGCTGTGCTCAGTTCTCGGGTAAGAGAGTGTGGTTAAATTTTTTACTTAAGTAAAATGCAGGTGAGAGAGAATTTTCAGTTTGCACTGGATGGCTCTATTTGAAACTTGAGCATTAAAGTACACCAAATATGTCCAGTTAAACTAAATCAAAGTGCGTAAAGGAAGAGGGCCGGGAATGGGGGGGAGGGGGAGAGAGTAGAGGAGGTTTTGATTGTTTTATCAGCCCTGCAGTTTTGGGAGACTGGTGCAGATCATTCTGTTTACATCAGACTGCGAATGTGGAACCTCCCAGGGTCATGAATTCTCCAGTTTTCTTTGGAAAAGCAAGAGGGCCTGGGAGTGCAGAGCTGTCACAGCACAGCCTCTCCAGCTGCACAGGTCTGGTCTTTGATAACTGCATTTCATTATTCTCGGAGAAGGGAGAGCCAGTGACCTCACAGAGCGAGAGGTCCAAGCCGGCCTCTAGGAAAATGATTGCTCGGTTAGTGGAGTCTGGTTGACTCATACCGCCAGGATTCTAAAATTAGCCCTGCTTGATGCCTAAGCCAGTGGTCCATGTATTGATCAAGACCTTGTGGATCCACATGACCAACATGTTCTTTGTCCTAATGAGCTAACTGTCTGCTGGGGAGACAAGGCATGGGTGGACATAAGTCATGACAGCAAACTGCATGAGTAGTCTAGTAAGGTAAGAAGAAAGGTGATACTGAGTAGTTGAAGGCTTCTGTTAAGCAAAGATAGCAAGCACTCATTGTTCAATAAAGCTCAATATTAAAATTTACAAGTGACCATTTCTAAATTTGGGAGGAAAAGTTTTTGTTTGCATCTACGTTGGAAAATCACTTGAGACTGAGTCTCCTTTTTTCAGAGGATGATCAGTGGTACCGTGCCTCTGTCTTGGCTTACGCCTCTGAAGACTCTGTGCTGGTCGGATATGTAGATTACGGAAACTTTGAAATCCTGAGTTTGAAAAGACTGTGCCCCATAACTCCGAAGTTGTTGGAATTGCCAATGCAAGCAATAAAGTGTGTGCTGGCAGGTATGAAATTGTTATGGTCCCCATATTTTTAAATGATTAAAACCTCAAGTAGGAGTATTAGAATTGAAATTAAACTACTGATAAGATAAAGGAACATGTTTAGACATAACTTATTTAGTGGAAAAATAATCCTTAATAGAACACTTAGGAAACACTATCTGTAATAAAACAAAACTTAATGTACCTGTGGTTATGAAATTGAGTGTTCTTTGCTATTTATGGAGCCTGCATTATTAATATCATAGAAGTCTATTAACTACATAAAGTAGAGTGAAACCCACTTATAAAAGCAATAAGAACATTACAGGTATGTGCTTAGAAATTGCTATGTATGTAATCTGTCCCAGAGGGCTTCTTTTCACGTCAATAATTGGCTTCTACACCTTCATGTATATGTACCCTAATTTAACTACTAACCAATTATAAGAATGCTACTTAACTATATTTTACAACCTGTCCGAGATCATTTACTTAAGATGGGTTGCAAGGTGTAGGTATATTGCTAACAGGTCCTTAGGAGGTGTTGGTGGGTGTGCTTCTTTTCCTGTTTGTGGTGGTTCTCCAGAAGGTGTTAAACTAGTGTACCCATCTGTCCGAAATGCAGAGGTAGTCAATGCCTTCATACCTGGGTGCACCAAATAGGTATTTCTGTGTTAGTTCATCTTGGCCAATTTTGGTGAGCTAAATTCATTACCAGTGAGGCTATTTTTTTGTAGGTTACATGGCTTTTATATTTTACTAGAGGCCCGGTGCCCGAATTCGTGCATGGGTGGGGTCCCTTGGGGTGGCCTGTGGGGATTGGGCCCAAACCGGCAGTCCAACACCGCCTGCCATTCCTGCCTGCCGCTCCCGCTCATCCCGGCCCCGCTGCGCCCAGTCAGTGGGAGAGGCTTGTGCCACCACAGTGGCGCTTGCCAACCATGAGCTCTGTGTCTGGCGCCCATCCCGAGGGGGATGGGAGAGGGTCCAGAACGTGATGGGCCCTCTGGGCAGGCAGTGGGATGCTCTTGCTGACTTGGGATCTGGATCCCTTCTGCTGCCACCAGTTGTTGGTAGCCACCTGGTGGCTGCTTTTATATCGTTTCTTCCTTGCGGAGCATCTAGGGAGGGGAAGTGGCCACAGTGCCCGAGGCCAACTTCCAGGAGGCCAGCAGTGGCACCGTCAGGATTGTGCTGGCAGGGCCAGTCCATCGGTACCTGGCCCGTTCTCTGGAGATTGGACCTGTAGGACTACTGAGGGAGGGAGTGTCTGCTGCCGGGCTGGTGGTCCACCCGGATGGGTCAGTCAGCTGAGCGTCTGCCCCCTGGTGGTCAGTGCGTATCAAAGCAACCGGTCAACTGGTCATTCAGTTGCTTAGGCTTTTACATATATATAGATGAACTAAGCACTATGTTGGGGTTGCCGTAAATGCTTCATATATGATGTAAGGGGGGACCAATGTTTTTTCCTGGATTGCTTATACTTTTGTTTATGATTTTCGTAGCAACCTTAAGACATAATTTACATATACCACAAAATTCACTATTTTAGGTATACAACTCAGTGATTTTTAGTAAACTTACCAAGTTGTATAATTATCACTGTAACCCTGCTTCAGAACATTTCCATCACCCAAATGAGATCTCTTGTGCCCGTTTATAGTTAATCCTTGCTCCCCAGGCAACCAGGAATCTGCTTTCTGTCTTTACAGATTTGCTTTTCTGGACATTTCGTATCAGTGGAATTATGTGTTGTTTTTTTACATAGAACTGTAGAAGGTTTTACAGGCGTTTTCTTTGTAATTTTGCCTTCATTTGCATGTTTAGAAAATCTTTCTGCTCAGATGGAACTTTTTGGTTCCAGTGTTTGTCACAGATTACTTAAGTGCACCTTTGTGGAAATTTGAAGCTGGATTTCTAAGTGCTTGCTGTAAGAAATATTTTAACATCCTTTAAAAAAAAATTCTTTGTTAGGAGTAAAGCCATCATTAGGAATTTGGACTCCAGAAGCTATTTGTCTGATGAAAAAGACTGTACAGAACACAATGATCACGGTGAAAGTGGTGGACAAGTTGGAGAACAGTTCCCTGGTGGAGCTTATTGATAAATCCATGACACCTCACATCAGTGTTACTGAAGTTCTCATAGATGCAGGCTTTGCTGCCCGGGAAAAGGGGATAGTGACAGAGAAGCTCATGAAGGAAGCCAATGGTAAGTAAAATGTCAGTCAGACAATGTTCAGGCTGGAGTTCAGATGGTTTCGTGAATATGTAGGTTTTCATATGTTCAAAAAGAATTATGTTACCCTGCCGGTGTGGCTCAGTGGCAGAGCGTATAACCATGAACTAAGAGGTCACCAGTTAGATTCCTGGTCAGGGCACATGCCTGGGTTGCAGGCTCGATCCCCAGGGGTTGTGCAGGGAGGCAGACAATTGTTGTTTCTCATCGATGTTTCTAGCACTATCCCTCTTCCTTTCTCTCTCTAAAATCAATACAGTAAAATATTAAAGAATTATGTTGAGTACTTGTTGTCTTTTAAATCAATCATTGATCTAAATACATGTAAGAGTTGTTTGGGAACTGAATATTTGTTGAAAGTTTTATGGGTCACTGGCCGCTGAAGGTCAGTCAGAAATGTGAATGAATTTGAAATGTGAAATGTACTGAGGGTAGTAATGGTTGATTGTAATACTGTCAACTTTCCTATGAATTCACTAAGAGAATCATTGAAAATTCAGTTCTTCCAAAGCAGATTTCTGAGACCATTTGGTTTTCTAAAATGTTCATTTATTTTCACAGCTCCCTTGGGTGTAGAAGCAAAAGTAAATCCATTGGTATGGACATGGGTTGCCCTTACTGTTGACCAAACAGTAGATGTTGTGGTCTGTGTGATACATAGTCCTGGAGAATTTTATTGTCATGTGCTTAAAGAGGACGGTAAGTTGACTCATTTATATTTTTTCACAGGTACATTCGTGTAGATAAGAACTCAAGATGAGTTTATTGAGTGATAAAAGTACTCTTTCCAAGAAGGGCCAAGTGGGTATTTGTACCTCCAAGAAAGATGTGGTTAAACGTAGTTGCCTTTTATTTCAATTTTAAGCCCTTATTTCTATTTCCAACATCTCTCCTTATATTAAATCAGTTTAGATTTCACAAAATGTCTCCTAAATTCAGTTTTGAAAATTAAATTTAATTGTTGGTTTCATTGAAATACAACATATATATAAGTGCACAAATAAGAGTGTGACATAAGTTATCACAAAGTCAAAACACTTGTATAACCAACATCTAGGCCAAGTAATAAAGTAGTGCCAGTAACCCAGAAGTTTCCTTCATGTCTTCCTATCACTACCGCTTCTCTCTTTCAAGAGTAAATACTAGCCTGCTTTCTACTAGCATAGATTGTTTTTTTCTGGTTTTGAACTTCATATAAATGGAATGATACAATATGCACTCTTTAGTGTTGGTTTTCTTTACATTGTTTTTTAAAACTGGCCATCATTTTTACATGTAACTGTGGCTTGCTTTTTTGTTGCTGCATAGTGTTCTACTGTATGAATATACTGCAGTTTATTATTTCTACTGTTGGATGTTGGGCTGTTTCTAGTTTTGAGCTATAAAATAATGTTGCTATGAATATTCTCAAATTTAGTGCACATGTGCATGCGTTTCCATTGATTATATTCCTAGGAATGAACTTATTAGCTATATCTTAGAGCAGCGGTCACCAACCTTTCGGACCTCATGGACCACCAGTGGTCCATGGACCACCGGTTGGTGACCGATGTCTTAAAGGTATGTATATTTTCAGCTTGGGTCAATGAAGGCTGAAAGTGAATATGACAGTTGTCAATTTAAGTGTTCTAGTTCAGCAGTCGCCAAAAGTTACAAAAGAGTATTAGTGGAGCCCTGGCAGGTAGCTCAGTCAGTTAGAGCACTGAACCAGTGAATGCATAAATAAGTGCCTTGTTAATCAGGGGTTTTCTCTCTCCCTCCCTCTCTCCCTTTCTCTCTCTAAAATTATTTTTTAAAAATATGTAGTGAAAAGTAAGTTTTCTATTTCCTCTTCTGAATTTTGTTGTTGTTGTTAATCCTGGCCCGAGGATATTTCTCCATTGATTTTTAGGGAGAGTGGAAGAGAGAAGGAAAGACTGAGAGAAACATCGAGGTGAGAAAAGCACACCTACCTATTGGTTGCCTCCTGCACGAGCTCCAACCAGGGCCTGGGCCAGGAGGAGCCTGCAACCAAGGTACCTGCCTTTGACCGGAATCAAACCCGGGACCCTTTGTTCTGCAGGCCGATGCCCTATCTACTGAGCCTAACTGTCTAGGGCTCAATTTTCTGAATACCTTTTCAGAAGTACATACTCTGTACATTTGCTTATGTAAGTGTACATATTCCTTTTATGTAGGCACAAATGGTAAAGTACTGTCTGTATATTATTTTTGCAGTTTGCTTCTCTCATTCTATCTTGGATATCAGTTCACATAGTGTTTTCTCTCTTCTTTTTCTAATACACTTTCTATTGTAGAATAATTGAGATTTACAGAAAAGCTGAAAAGATGGTACAGAGAGTTCCTGAGCACCCCTCACTGAGCTTCCTTTGTAGCGAACATCTTGTTGCTGTATACTGATAACAATGCCCTCGTCTTGTCACTGTGCTCAGTAAATCATTGGCATAGGGTTTACCGGGAAGATTAACTAAATAATGACTTAAAATTTGCCCAGTTGTTATTTTATTTTATTTTTTTAATATATAGGGTGTCCCAAAATTCATGCAGGAAGTAATTTTGATAGAAAACACAGGTTTATAATTAAAAATTGTAAATGTTGTATTGATTCATAAAGTATACAGTATAGGATTATGTATGGAATAGCACATCGGGTAAATGGCCTCCACGGCTTTGCTGGCACATACGCAAAGCCATGGTCTTCATTGTCCCTGCTCCTGGGCCATAATTGGTACTTGGTAATGCTTATCAAATTGAAGGGATTGAAATCAAAAGGCAACAGATATTAGAATCTGATTCAATAAACCAAGTAAAATTAGGCTTTTATTTTTTGTTGTTGTTGTTAATGCTCATGCAAAATTCAAATCTTGCGTGAATTTTGGGACACCCTATATATATTTTTATTGATATCAGAGAGGAAGAGAGGGAGAGAGAGAGAGAAACATCAATGATGAGAGAGAATCATTGATTGGCAAATTTGCCCAGTTTTTAATGAAAAGGGAAAAGCATTTGGTGTACTTAATAGTTGTTTGGGGATATACCTGAGATTATATGATTAAAACATTTTTTAGCTTTAAAGAAAAATCTATATTCTGCATTTTTTAAAAAATATTAAATGCCGCATGTGTATTGTATTTTCAGCTTTAAAGAAACTCAATGATTTGAACAAATCACTAGCAGAACTTTGCCAGCAGAAGTTGTCTAATGACTTTAAGGCAGAAATAGGGCAACCTTGTTGTGCCTTTTTTTCAGGTAAGTTGCAGTTGGTGCAATCTTGACTTTACCAGAACCTTTTGTTTCTTGACATTCAACCCCTTTTTTTTTAATTTAAATTTTTATTGACTGTATTGGGGTGACATTGTTTAATAAAATTATATGGGTTTTATCAACCCTTATTTTTGATGTATATTTTCTTTCTGATGTTTAAGCAAATATTTTTCACACTTGACATTAAGTGAATGCTTAAGATGTTTTTTCTTCTCTCTTTGACGAGGAGCTTTCAAATGATACTTTCATACTTAAACTTGGTTAAATGCTTTTCTTTCCAAAATTTCTGATAATACTAAAATAAATTAGATAATAGAAAACCTGTCCACTGTAGATTTATTGTTTTTTTTCTGGTCACCCTGTGCTTACTTATTTTGAAGATAACTTTAATGAGATATCTTAATTTCATTGCAAGACTTTTTCTATTCACTTTTTATATTGTTTTACCAAGTAACAATTAAAACAATCTGTCAGTAGTAGTGAGAGTATTTTAAGTCTTCCAGATTGACAGACATGCTTACATTTACCTTTACATTCTGATAATTTAAGGATAGGTGATGAATGAAATCTTTAACTTGCCAAACCGGTTTGGCTCAGTGGATAGAGCGTCGGCCTGCGGACTGAAGGGTCCCGGGTTCGATTCCGGTCAAGGGCATGTACCTTGGTTGCGGGCACATCCCCACTGGGGGGCGTGCAGGAGGCAGCTAATCGATCTCTCTCATCGATGTTTCTAATTCTCTATCCCTCTCCCTTCTTCTCTGTAAAAAATCAATAAAAATATATTTTTTTAAAAAAGAAATCTTTAACTTATATCAGATGTAAAAGTGTGGTGCTGTAAAAATTTTGGAGGTATTCTAAAAATTGATTTTGAGTATTCTTGTAGGAATCTGTGAATGAAAGCTACAGGCATCATCTGTGGAAGAGAGCAGGTTTATTATTTGCTAGACAAATGATGTCTTTTTCATGATACAACTTCCATGTTACAAACTTTATCTTAAATCTAGGTGATGGCAATTGGTATCGTGCTTTAGTCAAGGAAATTGTACCAAATGGAAACATTAAAGTACATTTTGTGGATTATGGAAACATTGGAGAAGTTACTGCAGATGAACTCCAAATGATCCCTTCTGAATTTTTAACACTTCCATTTCAAGGGATACAGTGTTGGTTAGTAGGTATGATGTAGAATAAGAAATTTTCTCTACTGTCTTCTAATACTTAGAGTGCATAAACATCTAAGTATTAATATCTATAATTTTAATATTTTGTGTAAGTTAGAATATCTTACTTTATAATATAAAATTTCAAAATGTATTTTTAAAGATACTGGCCAGACTGTCTGTCGATGTCAGAGTAGGGAAGCAGCTGCTTTTCTGTACTGTGTTGGGTGGGAAAATGGATGTCTTCTCATGAAGATACTTTGCTTCCAATAATTTATCCCAAAGAACTAATCCTGGAATTTTACAAAGTCCACCTACAAGGAAACTCATTCCACTGCTGTTAATAAAAGCAAATCAACCTAAATAATAAGAGAAGATGGGTTAAATGATGCTCCATACAGTGGGTAATGGTAGTGTCTGGTTCATGGGGTTGTTGTGAGGATTAAAGGAATGTTCAGAACAGGGCCTGGCACTCAGAGGTCCTATTTTACTGTTTGTTATTACATAGTCATTAAAAGGAGGTTAAATGTGTGATTGATAGAAGAATTGTTCACGATTTAAGTGAAGAAAACAGTTACAAGGAGATGCAGCAAAGCATTATAACTAGGAGGACGGACGCTAGGACCAGCTCTGCTCCCTACCAGCCGTGAGACCTCAAGCAAACTGTTTAAACTCTGCTCTCATTTCCTCCCATGCACAGTAACAGTACCTTCCTCAAAGAGATAAAAGTATAAAAAGCACTTAACAGTGCCTGGGCACTGTTATACCCATAATAGCTATTATTATTATAAAAAATTTATTTAAAAAAGAAATATGAGTATATATGTTCATGTGTGTATTTCCCTGAAAACTGTGGAAGGTTGGATACCAAAATGGTAACGGTGGTCTGTCTGGAAGCATAGATGCTTTTCTTTTGTTCTTTTGCTTATTTGTTTTCTTTCTACTTAATCTGTACTAACTATGTTTCAGATTATTGTTTTTAATTACCACATTTTATGTCAGTGTTTCTAAATATGTGGCCCCGAACCAGATGCAGCAACATGAGAACTTAAAAATGCAGATTCTCATTCCCCACTCAAGACCTACTACTAAATTGCAAACTCTTGGGTGGGGCCCCTAAATCTGTTTTAACGAGCCCTCTAGGTTATCCAGATGCACACTGAAGTTTGAGAATCACTGTTAAGAATAGGGTATAAGCCAAAATTAGCAAAGAAAAAAAATCTGTGGCTCAGTAGTTTAAAATGATATTTTAAAATATTAGAAAACTGTTCACAAAGGTGAATTATGTGGTTGACATCTTTTTAAAATTTTATTACCAGTATAATTGGTCACTCATCATTGTGTGTAACAGAATATAAAAATGGCTTCTAAAAGAAATAATAGCCCTAGCTGGTTTGGTTCAGTGGATAGATAGAGAGTCGGCCCGAGGACTGAAGGGTCCCAGGTTCGATTCTGGTCAAGGGCATATGCCTGGGTTGTGGGCTTGATCCCCAGTGTGGGGTTGTGCCAGAGGCAGCTGATCAATGATTCTCTCTCATCATTGATGTTTCTCTCTCTCTCTCTCTCTCTCCCCCTCTCCCTTCCTCTCTGAAATCAACAAAAAAATATTTTTTAACACTTGGAGTGCGGGAAACGAGTTAAGTCTGCTCGCGTGAATTGCGCGTACTCCGCGGGAGCCGTCTTTAACTCGGTTCATATAGATTTGCGGTGGAGTGCGGGAAACGTGTAAACTCGGGCCGATTGTAACTGCGTATTACCAAATATTTGTTTGTAATCCACCCTTTTGGTGGATGGAACAAAACCAAAAGACAGAGCCATCTTATATTTTGGTGGGAAATTCACCCGCACTCCAAGTGTTAAAAAGTTAAGAAATAACAATTCTATTTCTGCCTATTGGGAAAATGCCAGGTAAAGACACATTAGGAGGAAAGTAAGGAAAATATCCTGAGCAGTAAATTTGCAAATGCATTATTGGTAAATCAGATATGCAGGGTGTAGATACAGAATTGAGTATTGGAAAAAGATATTCAACATTGCTGACCTGAAGCAAAAATACAGCGTGGTATATACTAGTAAGCCTAACCAATGGACCCAGACTCCAGGCGGGGTGAGGGTGTGAGTGGGGGGCTGGGGGTGCAATGGGGGATAAGGACACGCATGTAATACCTTAATAAAGAAAAAAAATACAGCGTGGGCACAGAATTCTTCTTAATGCTGTTCTGCATATATTTGCCAGATATACAGCCTAGAAACAAACACTGGACTAAGGAAGCCATAGCAAAATTTCAGATGTGCGTTGCAGGGATAAAACTCCAAGCCCGAGTGGTTGAAATCTCTGAAAATGGAGTGGGACTTGAGCTCACCGATCTCTCCACTTGTTATCCCAGAATAATTAGTGATATTCTCATTGAGGAACATCTGGTTGTAAAAGCCAGTTCACCACAAAAAGACTTTACAACAAACAGACCTGTCAATAAGCATGATCTTCAGATTGAAACCCCAGGGCATCAAGGTAACATTTTTAAGCCATTTGTTTGTTATTTAAATTTGTGTTATCCTTTGTTTTCAAAGGCTGTGAAAAATTTTCTATTCTGAAGGATACAATTTTCCTGTAGAAATATGCTTTGTGGAGATAGATTAATAATAGGCTATCTATAATAATAAAAGCATAATATGCTAATTAGACCAGATGTCCTTCTGGACGTCCTTCCAGACAACCTTCCAGACGAAGCCGGGGCTACGAGGGAAGCCGTGCCTGCCGGCAGCCGGGGGAAGGAAGGCCTACTCTTGCACGAATTTCATGCATTGGGCCTCTAGTTGAAGTTAATTTAATATTAATTTATTGAAACATGATGGTTTTATTCAACCAACACTGTACTCATTTTTAATGTAGTTACTTATTAGGTAAACTTGCATCATACATTTGTGTATCCCTTAATGTTTGAATACATTTTACGAATGATACTAAATATACTACAGAAATGGAAATGTATTACAGAAACACAATACTACAGGAGTGCAGTGGTTCAAAGATTCTCATTACAGATTGGATTTTTTTATTTTTTTTGTAACACCCACAAAATCCCTCAAATTGAATAGATTGTTTTGTAAAAATACAGATATTATTTTGGGAATTTGGGAATGTTGATGAAAAAAAACTGAGTGAATAAACACATTACTAGGAAAGAATACTGAATTGGACCTGTTTCATGGAGACCTTTGTTTGGTATGTTTTCAGCCGTCTCTTTAGCTCAGCAGTGGAGGACAATAGAATTGCCAGTTGATAAAACTTTACAAGCCAGCATATTAGAAATCATAAACCCAAACTTATTTTATGCTCTGCCAAATGACATGCCGGGTAAGAAATTAAAATTTGAGACCCATTTATGCTAACCTTTTTAACTGTAAAATGAAAGTGCTTATCTGAAGTCATTAGGGAATGGGGAGAAGGAGGAGGGTAACAACTTTGTCTCAAGGTTTTACGGAAGAATTGATCTTATTAACACTTCAGGCAGATTCACGAATAAAAACACCAGTGTGGACATAAATAGAATGCCCTGCATTCAGCACCTGTTCAACCTAGTCTTAATAATCTACAGCTTTTTATAACAAAACAATGTCTTGATTACTGTATAACTTCTTGTTTAAATGCATTGTGTTCAGTTGTATTTATCAAGTTAATCTTCAACAGCCGTGTAAGAGAAATTTTTTTTTTTAATTCTCACCCGAGGATATTTTTTCCATTGATTTTTTTAGAGTGGAAGAGAGAGAAACAGAAACATTGTGTGAGAGAGACACATTGATTGGTTGCCTCTTGCTTGTGCCCCAACTGGGGCCCAGGATTGAACCTGCAACCAAGGTAATCAAACCTGTGACCCTTTGGTCAGCAGGCTGACACTCTAACCATTGAACCACACCGGCCAGGGCCATTTAAGAGAATTTGAAACAAAACTTTTTATATTCAAAGAGTACTTTGTCTTCTATTTATAATCATAGTGTTAGTATATCTTTAGAAACTTAGAGAACGGTTTAAATTGGACCTAATCATGAAAAAGAGTAGCATATAAGTATTTTTAATTTTCCTTTTTTGTTTCATGGAAGTTTACAATTAAGGCTTCTTGTCAGTGTTGTTTGAGTGTATCCTTGTAGTATAGAATGTGAGTTAGTGCAAGTTGGGTGGTGGCTATTCAAAATAATTTGCAGGTACTTAAAGGCTGAAGAAAATAAACGTTTGTTTCAAATTGTCAGACCTAGAATTGTGATAATACCAATAACTGCTTAAATTTATCTCTAATATTACAAATAATTATCCTTAATCTGTAGACTAGAAAGCAAGGGTTTAGGATTATTCAATCCTGATAACATATACTAGTAGTATGACAAATTGGAAGTATTTCTTTTATTAACTGGAGGCATACCTCAGAGATGATGCAGTTCAACTCCAGACCACTGCAATTAAGCAAATATTGCCCTAAAGCAAATCGCATGAATTTTGCTTCCCAATGCATATAAAAATATTTACACTCTACTGTAGTCTATTAAGTATTCAATAGCTTTATTTCTAAAAAGAAAATGTATATTTCTTTTTTTTAAAATATATTTTATTGATTTTTTACAGAGAGGAAAGGAGAGGAATAGAGAGTTAGAAACATCGATGAGAGAGAAACATCGATCGGCTGCCTCCTGCACACCCCCTACTGGGGATGTGTCCGCAACCAAGGTACATGCCCTTGACCGGAATCGAACCTGGGACCCTTCAGTCCGCAGGCCGACGCTCTATCCACTGAGCCAAACTGGTTAGGGCAAATGTATATTTCTTAATTGAAAAATACTTTATTGCTAAAAAAGTGCTGTCATCTGAGCCTTTAGCAAGTTGTAAGCTCTTTGCTGGTGGAGGGTCTTACCTTCAATTTGTAAAAAACACAATATCTGAAGCACTATAGAACCAGGTGTGCCTGTATAACACACTCACTGCAAAGCACACCAAACAATTGTAAAAATACAGCTGAATCGTTTTTCATAAGTGTGAACACCCTAGTATAGCAACCCCAAGCAAGACCTTAGTCTCCACAGGCTTCCTTCTTGCCCTCTCCCAGTACTGCATCCCTTCAGCACAAGATGACCAATAGGGTTTTATTTATTTTTAAAAAATAAATGTATATTTTAATACACACAGAGGTTTGGGGGGGTTATTAGATTTAACATTGTTTTGTATACTATATTTAATAATAGTATTGAAAATTTTTTCACAAAAGATTGTTTTTATATATTTTAGAAGATCAGGAAAAACTGTATGTATTGACAACTGAATTGTTAGTATATTGCAATGCTCAGACGAGGCAATCATCCTATAGACCGAGAGCGGGAGATGCGTGCTGCGCCAAATACACAAGTAAGATTCTTCTAGGGAAAATACTTTTCTGTTCTCTTTCACATGAGATGATATGGATCTTGTTACTTAAGATGCACATTTCACTTGATTAGGTAGAGAAATTAAAGAAAAGGTCATGGGTTTAATTCAAATATTGGGGTTATTCAGCTTTTCTGTTCCATAACCACAGTTATACTTAGGCAAGGGTATAGGTAGAGATTTACAAATCTGTCAGTACTTCTAGATAACCAGCTCTAGATAATAATACTCTGTATCAGCGGTTCTCAACTTGTGGGTCGAGAACAATGAAAATACATCCTGCATATCAGATATTTACATTACGATTCATAACAGTAGCAAAATTACAGTTATGAAGTAGCAACAAAAATAATTTTATGGTTGGGGGTCACCACAACATGAGGAACTGTATTAAAGGGTCGTGGCATTAGGAAAGTTGAGAACCACTGCGAGTCTATATGGTGGATCAATAGGTATTTATCAATTAAACTACATTAGACATGTATATAAGAAAAGTTAAAACGGAATCATTTGGGGGTCTGAAATAGATTTATTAAATTTACATTATTTCTAACGGGGAAAAATGATTCGGTTTTCGAACAAATCACTTCTCGAATAGCCTTCTGGAATGAATTAAGTTTGAGAAACTGTAAGTGATAATTTTTGGTTAGGTTAAATATTCTTTATTACTTTAGTAGTGTTGTATAAACACTATTCATAGGCTAGCCATGTGGTGTACTATAATTAGATTTCTATTTTGTAGTGCTTTTTGTTGTTACTGGTGTTCTCTATACTTTCATAATTACCTCCAGTTCTCTGCATTAATGTAAATTCAGTGAACACTTAATGTACTTTTATCAACTTTTATTGTATTAGAGGCATCTTTAAACTTCTGAACCACTCCTTTCTAGACTGCTTGCCCTCCAGACCTGAGCCATCATCCTGGAATTTTCCCTTCACCATCATGCTGGGAGTTGTTTCAACACCACCCACCCTTGTTTCTTTGATTTCTCCCCCACCCCACCTTGTTGGCTAGATCTCCCCCTCAGTCATCGGGATCCCTTGTTTTCGGAATCCCTTACTTTACTCTAATATTTGGGTATATTCTGTTCTCCAGAAGCTGATAAAAGGTACATGTAAGATGAATTTTAATTATCTCTCATGTTTGAAAAATTCCATTATGTTTTCAGGTGATGATCTCTGGTACCGCGCCATTGTTCTGGGGGTGTCGGAGGCCGAGGTGAAAGTGATCTATGCGGACTATGGAAACGTGGAAACTCTGCCCCTTTGCAGAGTGCAGCCGATCTCCGCCAACCACCTGGAACTTCCTTTCCAAATTATTAAATGTTCGTTCGAAGGTAGATAAGTCACTTTCCAATCTGGGTGTCTCTGGGTTGTTGCTTTTTCCTGTTTGTTCTAGAGCTCTAAGTCTGAATCAAATAGGTATTTCAAGTAACTGCCAAGATTTCTAAATATCAAGCAGAGTTTACAAAGAAATCTCCTATCTTTTATTCTTTCATTCTCACAAAAATGATATTCAGTTGGTCCATCTTTGTTTTACAGATGGTTTCATAGTGCCCAGGTTTAGAGGTTGTTTCGTCCTAGGTTGCAAAACTAGGAAGTGGCAGGGCCAGGATGAACGTGGGTCACCTGACCGCTCCTATGGGGGGTCTTCCTGCTGTGTCACCCTCTGTCTTTAGAGACATTCAGATGACACTGCGTATAATATTATCTGCATATTATCAACTCTTCTCTTGGAATTTGTATGAAGTGTGCTGAAGTATTACAGTCGACTTTTACTTACTCCCGATTTCTTTACCTGGAGGTACCCGCAGATAAGAACGTACTGATTGCCTCAGAGTCTGCTTTGGTTTTGACTCAGAGAGTCGGGAAACTGTTACTGTTTTTTCTCCCACATGAATATATGTCCAGGAAGGCAACCATTTGTCTGTTTGGGCCCTCCAGACCTAGATCAGTGCTTGACACACAACAGGGATCAACGAGTACCTAAGTTTTATTTTTTTTAATGCAGCAAATAGCAGTAGTACATCAAAGCATACATAAACCTAGCTAAAATCAGTGAGGCTTTGTCTTATTATCCTTAGATAATTTATCTAAATACTACCTTTTTAAATGGACTTAAGATTAACTCTAATATGTAATTTTTTTTCCAGGACTAATGGAATTGAATGGAAGCTGTTCTCAATTAGTAATAGAGCTACTAAAAAACTTCATGTTGAATCAGAATGTAACACTTTCTGTAAAAGGAATCACTAAGAATGTTCATACCGTGTCGGTTGAGAAAAGCTCTGAGAATGGCGCTGTCAGTCTAACTGATAAGCTGGTGATGTATGGTCTGGCAAGAGACATCACATCTAAAAAGCAAAATGCTCTAAATAAAGGTATTTTTTCCAAGTGTAATAACAAATGTAAGTGTAATGAAGAATCGCTGTCAATTTAGTTGAACTCATCTTTCCTTACTCCCCGTGGCCACATTCCCCTCCTCCTCCTCTGTGAGCCCAGTGGCAGGGCTCCAGGTCCTGACGCCGCCTCGAGGACCCCCTGGATGGAAGCAGGCTGCGCAGTCCAGACTGTCCTTAGACCAGGCTCAGCAGCATTGTCCCTGGAACTGATGCCAAGAACGTTAGAAATGTCGGGCATTCCAAGTTACTTCCAGTTAACTTTTGATCCTGGTGAAAGTGAAAAACATCCACATTTTTTAGATTGGATCTTATGATATTTCATAAGATGATGATTTGGCAGGCCTGCCCTCAGCCAAAAAGAGACATCCCCTATGAGAGGCAGAAGACCTAAAACCTTGGAGACATGGGCATTCGTTTGGTAAAATCCCTGGACACAGTAGAGATAGCATGGAAACCCAAACAAAAGGTTAATTGATCAAGTCTTTTGTAGTTGGAACCCATGACTGGGGAGGGGCATATGTTCAGACTTTAGGATTTTTGTTATTTATATTGCATGTATGTGACCTAATGACTTTTTGCATTTGCTTTTAGAAAAGACGAACAGGATGAATTGCTGCTGCTCAGAATTACAGAAACAAGTGGGTAAAGTTTTCTTTAAGTGAAATTATCCTTTTAACACTTTGAGAAATTAAATGCTACTATTTTTTTCACCCATAGGTTGAAAAACATGAACAGATTCTTCTCTTCCTCTTAAACAATCCAACCAATCAAAATAAATTTATTGAAATGAAAAAGTTGTTAGAAAGTTAAGTAAGTAAAATTTGCTGTTTTTGCCACCTCTGTAACCAGCAGTCGGACACCTGCAGTCCTGCTCTCAGGGCAGAGCTGCTGGAGTGAAAGCTCTCTGCGAGGCTGTGCTGTATTTTGTGAGCTAATGATCAGAGGCCTGGTTTACTGTTTTGGCTGTTTTCCTAAGTTTTATTGTGTAATCTTCCTTTGTCACTGCCAGTGGCACTGAGCCCAGGGGTGCGTGTTCAGGTTGCAGCAAACTTTCCTACTGTTGTTTGATTTTGGGGAGTGCTCATGTTGATATGTGGAGGGATTCGTAATAATTGCTGTGATGTAAAGCGTAGCCCGAAATGCTTTGTGTCTAGATGTGAGATCAACTCTCACTTGTGTGCATTGCTATAACAGTGTTTAGCCTTTAAAAAATCACACCAAAAAAAATACGTTTTTACTGATTTTTAGAGATAGAGGAAGGGAGAGAGATAGAGAGATAGAAACATTGATGAGAGAGAAACATCATTGATCTGCTGCCTCCTGCACACTCCTCACAGGGGATTGAGCCTGCACCCAGGCATATGCTGTGACCAGGAATCAAACCGGTGACTTCTTGGTTCCTAGGTCGATGCTCAACCACTGAGCTACACCGGCCGGGATGTTTAGCACTTTTTGTGAGGAAGTTCCAAGGGTTCAAGAATGGAAAATGGGCTGCACTGATTGTATATTGCATTTCAAAACAAAACATACTCTTTTCTTTTGGCTGTGGTGATTCTAGTGGTTAAAAGACAAAATTGGTGAGTTTTAAACAATAGTTCCCCTGCTGCTATTCCCTGTTACTATCTGGGATCCTTTGTTCTGAGATGGTCCTCAGAAATAACTTGTGATCAGTAAACAGCCAGTTGGAAGCTGTCCTTATCACTTAATTCAAAGAGATTAATTCCAGCCAAAAGCAAAGGATCTTTGACTATTTTAATGTGTGCACTCCTGTTGGTTGAAGTGTAGTTTATATCAGACCTTTTGCAAACAGCTTGGTCTTTGTGGGTCTCTGTGGGCGTGACAGTCCTCAAGTAGTTAACTGCTGGGCTCACACATTCTTTGTACTATTGTTTGTTTCTGTTTCTAAGAAAGTATAGCCAAGTTCTAAGGTAAATGTCATTAATGCAAGATCAACAGTTTGGATTCTTATGATTTATTTCCTTTACAAGTTTTGGGTTGTTTTTAACAAATGCTGACTTACAATTGCAATGACAACTTTCAGTGCTTTCTCATGCATTGAGTTGTAATACTGACTGCTTTTTGTGTACTTGGGTTTAAAATCATTATTGATACTTTTAATTTCATAGATTAAGGACATGCAAAGACACGAACTTCTGGAATTTAGTGCTAGTGCCAGTCAAGTTGATGAACTTGCATGTTCTGTTACTCTTTATCTGTGTAGTAGGCTTTTTTCTAAAGATTGTGGAAAGTGCTTACACACACACCTTCAGATGAAACCTGTATTTTCTGTTGTTTCTGAATAGATTGAAGACATTACTTAAAAAAAACAAAAAACAAAACAACAACCACTTGATTTAAAGCATAGTAGTTGAATTGACTTTTCTTCTGTGGGAATAAATACATATTCTATCTACATTTGAATACTGTGATACCATATATTTGGGCAGTGCTTTACTTAAAAGGAACTTTTACATCTAATCCCATAGTTCATCTTCACAGCACCCTTGAAAAGAAAGTACAACCCCATTTTCTAGGTGAGGCGGCTGAGGCTCAGAGAGGTTAATGGCTGCCCAAAATCACACAGCCTGGAAAGTTGGTCTTCTGACTCAAAGCCGACTTCTCTCTATTGGCCCCCTGCTTCTTACCTGTCTGCTGTGCTTCAATATCTTTTTAGGTTCCATCAATCTGAAGGGCATGAAACTACGGTTATATTATTAGAAAACATTACATACATGGTTACTTAAGTAGATTTCCTTCATTCTAGTGAAAATGTAGTTGAATATTTAGTACTTTAAGTCATTCCTCCTAGAGATAGAGAAAATGTGTTTTGTTTCATCATCTCTGGAGAAATTTGTTTTAATTTGTTAGTAATGGAGTGATGTGATGATGAGAACATAAAACTAACCTTTTGCTCAAAAGTGATACATACGTACTTTGGCATACAAGTTAATGTAAAATATTTTTATATTTGAAGGAGAGTGTGAACAGCTATATTTTATGTTTGTGAAGGGGGAGTACAAACAGCTATAATTAACACATCACACTGTTATGGTAGTGGCTAATTTTTTAACTGGCAGTTCTGACTTAATATCTAATTTCAGTTAAAAGTGCATATTTGTTTTGCTTGTACTTAAGATAGAAATTAAGAACCACGGTGACCAAGTTTTCATATACGGCATAATGATAGTTGATTTTTCTCTTTCAGAAACAGTCTGTTGGAAATAAACACTTATGAGAGAGGAAACAGTGAAGGCTAGACTAGGAGAGAAAGGACAGCATCTTGTGTGTTTATCGGAACCTTTTCTCTTTGACGTTTTCTTTAATGACCTTTGATGCCTCCACTTTTGTTTGCTTACTGCTCTTCTATTAGGTAGAGTAGTTTTATTTTCCAAGTTCTTCCTTCCAAATATATAAGCCTGGCACAGAAGATCTTCCAAATTCACAGAAATATGAGGAAGGGATACATGGGGGCTTCCTACTGTACATATAACTTTTTATTACATAAAGGTTCTGAAGAAAACATGGCTCCATACTAATACTGGATAAGTCTAGTTGGTGGATACATGAGCTTTATTATTTTTCGGACTTTTATGTATGTTTGAAGTATTTTATAATAAAATATCCCTGTCATCATCTGTCTCTGGCACATAATAAATGTTCTTTGGTTTGTTGTTGCTCCATTCTCTGCTCCTCTTCTCTTGTGCGTGCTGAGGTCATGAGCTGCTCTCCATCCTGACGTGGCTCCCTTGTCCTTTGGCCGTTGGGCAGTCTGTCCTTGGGCTCTGGACCACTCCAGCAGGGGAAGGAAGGTTCTCTTTCTGCTCTCGCCAGCCATTATGTAGCCACTTAGATTTTTATTATAGTTAGAATTTGCCATTTTCTGGAGCACAAATGCAGGTAACAATTTAAGCTAAATTAGAAGTACATGATACTAAATTCTCCTAAACTCACGTGTGGAATTATGGCCAGCTGACTTTTCTGCCAGCCCTGAGTTTCTGTCTGAGAATTTTTGTGATTTTAAGTAGCAGCCTATGACAACCTCAGGAGATGTTTTCACCAACTCAAAGAGAAACTTACAAGACTTTTTTATTGTTGTTTTTACTGATAATGGGTGTCAGCTAATCTGTTAGATTCAATGGAATTTTTCCTCATGTAAAGAGTTGTTCAAATACTGATGTGCTTCCATTATATAAAAATGTATGCTGCTTTGCCCAATAAATCTTTTCATTTTGCCAGATTCCTCGTGTTCTTATTGCCAGCATTTTGCTAACTTCCTTTTCTTATTTACACATAGTAGGAGCACTACGTGCTTAGTTTGTTCATAGTCTGTTCAATTCCAGCCACAGCGAAAGTGCAAATGAAAACCATAGAATCACAAAACTTGCCTTTTTATTCTGGAAAGTTAGGGAAGCAAGTCAAAGACCACATAAAAAACCTAAGTCAGAATTCATCAGGTTCCAAGGTATTATATGCTTGTGGAAACTGCAATTCAAACAGTTTTAATTGGATGGAGTTCACTGTCATTTGGTGGTTCAGCTGTGTGCCTTGTTCCCCAAAAGGAACTAATGTAATCCATAGCACTGGCCTCACAAGTAAACGTCTGCTAGTTTAACCCACATATTAACATACCACCCCCCAGGTCTTATTTCTGAGTCGATTTAAGACTTTCCTGTTTGGTACAGAGTTAACTTTAACTCAACAAGTATTTCCTGAGCCCCAGCTGTGTGTCTCTGACATGGCGGTAGGTGCTGTATTTACTGTTCATTAGGACCAGGTATGGCCCATCACACCTGCCTGTCCTTCATAATATCTCGTTCAGTCATAGAGAAGTAAACTAGAGCTGAGACCGTATAGCCAAACAAATAGATCACTCCCTGGTAGAGGCCGTGTAAATATTGAGACAAATCAGGTTCATTTTAGATTTCTATTAAGGATTAAACAATGAATAGGAGTTGATGAGGAAAGCCATTCGTTATGCCTTTTCTTTTGGTAGAATTCTTTTGCTGGGGCAGCCAGGAATGTAAAAGGCTCAACATTGTGAATGAGGGTAATTTATATTCTGTAATCCAGCTCTCTTGCTACATAATGCGAACCCCAGAACACCAGTAACGTGAGGATCCTTACCAGCAGGGCCCTAAACTGCCAAATTCCAGGAGAGGCCGAGTCCTCCTGAGGTTGGCAACGAACCACAAACCATTTGTGTGACTAGTGCGCTCATCACCAACACAACTGCCTGGACGTGGCAAATGGAGCTCTTCTGGGATTAGCCAAAGAGTGACACCTGGGCCGCTCATGTGCAGGCGGTTCTGCAGGCAGACTGGCCCCCCGCAGTGCTTGCTTGAGAAACAAAGGCTTTTTAAGGGTGGTTTTTGTTTTGTTTTTCCAGATAAAAGGAGTTGGAGGGTAGCCAGTGGTTCCAAACATGAGTTAAGAGCCGCAGGATGACTTTGCTTGCTGGAATTGGTGAGGTTCCGTTCCAGGCTGCCCAGGTGGCGTTGTGGGAGGCTCACACAAAGAACAAACACTTTTTCCATTGCCCTGAACATGGTGCAAGTTACCGGTGGGGCACTGTAGTCTAACTTCCCTAGGAAAGTTCTTGAATCCAGCCACTAGCTTTCCGATAACCTACTAACATTGGTTTCATCTAAGGCTTTAGCTGCCCAGCCTCATGCATTTTCCTTGCTTTCCTTTTATTTTACCTTGAGACCCTGAGCTGATAACCTTTCGAGGAGGAGGTGCCCACCTCTTGTGATGTGAGACTTCCAGGAAGCGAGAGGGACTGTGAGTTGTAGTACTGCCCGCTCTGCCTCCTCCAAGGGTGCAGCAGATTCCTTTCGAAATAC